CCACTCCACCGACACTCAGTCCATCAGCCTCCACTCACCAACACTCAGTCCATCAGCCTCCACTCACCAACACTCCACCAACAGTTCATCGTCAATGTCTTCTCCAACATCCACTCCACCACAGCCACTCCACCGACACTCAGTCCATCAGCCTCCACTCACCAACAGTTCATCATCAACGTCTTCTCCAACATCCACTCCACCAGAGTCAACTCCACCACAGCCACTCCACCGACACTCAGTCCATCAGCCTCCACTCCACCAAGACTCAGTCCATCAACCTCCACTCACCAACACTTCATCATCAATGTCTTCTCCAACATCCACTCCACCAGAGTCAACTCCACCAAGACTCAGTCCATCAGCCTCCATGCCAACATTCATTTCATTAACATCCTCTTTGCCACTCCACCACCATCTATTTCACCAACATCCTCTCTACCACCATCCTCTCTACCAACATCTATTGCACCAACCTCCACTAGACCAGCTCTCTCTTTATCAACAACCCTCTCACCACCCTCTACTCCACTAACAACACTCCAGCAATACCCACTCCACTGTCTTCACCTATGTTCATTCAGTCAACATCCTCAGCACAAAAACATCCACACTACCAGACTCTACTCCACCAACATCCTCTCCACCAAGACTCTCTTCATCAGCATCCTGTCCATCAACATTCAATCCACCAGCCTCCACTCCACCAGAGTTGACTCCACCCACATCCTCTCCACCAAGACTCAGTCCACCAACCACCACTCCACCAAGATTCCTTTTTCAACATCCTGTCCACCAACATCCACCCCACTGACATCCACTTCACCAGCCTTCACTCCACCAACGCTCTCCTCTCCAGCATCCTCTCCAAGACCCACTCCACCAGCTACAACTCCACCAAGACTCATTTTATCAACATCCCTCCACCAACACTCACTTTGTCAACATCCTCTCTGTCACCATTCACTCCACCAAGGTCTTCTCCACAATATCCTTTCCACCAGCCTCTGCTCTGCCAATTCTTTCTGCGTCAGCAACCTCTTCACCAACTTCCACTCCACCAACACTCCACCAACCTTCACCCCTCCAACATCAACCTCACCCACACCCTCCCCACCCATACTCTTCCTAGCAGCCTTCCTTCTAGTTGGCATTTATGGCAGTGGCGCTTGGTCCCTCCTGTCCATCTGTGACATTTGTCCCTGTCATTAACCCCAGGCCCCATGCCCAGGACATGAACTGTCTCCTCTTCTCAGATCAGCAGCCTAGTCTGAGGCATCAGTGTCCTCAGGTTTTTATACAGAAAGAAAAGCAGCCAGGTTCTCCCCCAAGTGCTAGGGTGGTCCCACCCAGCCCACCCCCTCTTGGCCATGAGGGGCCACTGCCCACCTCGATGAAATAATCCTGAGGGTCACAGGTGCTGAAAGCCCTCTTGAAGAGCAAGTACAAGCCTTCTGATGTCTTCTGTGCCTGCAGCAGCTGGTAGTCCTGCTGAGAATCCAGGTGGATCTGGCCCTTCTGGTCACTCCACGCATCCTGAAGAGACAAGCATGGTATGACAGCAAGGTGGCCCGTGGGTGCGAGGGAGCTGCCCACTCGTCTGTCACTGCACATCCCTGGGAACACAACAGCCAAGCCGGAACTGCCCGGCCTTGCTCCCTGTGGGATGGGCTCCGTGCCTGCTCTGGGGGGTCGCTGCCCCTTTTTGTGCCCTGTCTATGTCTACCTGGTGATCCCTGCTTGCTTTCTCCACGGCGTTGATTAAAAACTCCAAAAACCTGCCTCAGACTCATCGGGAGCCCATCAGACAGAGCAAAGCTGCCCACTGGACTGGGAGCTCTGGCAGGCTGGAGGTCAGATATCGCACTGTCGACGCAAAGGAATGTGGCTTTATTCTACCAACTGCTCCAGGGGAGAAAGGTGGACCATCACCCCGCCCCCCCACGCACGATTTACAGCCTCTGAAGCCTGACAGATTGGTTCTGACTCTATAGTACACAACAACAACAACAACAACAAATCTTAACAAGAGCAAACCTACTCATCTCTCCCACAGAGCCTTGGCGACTTTGAACCACTGACCTTCCTGTTAGGAGATCAATACTTTATTCAGCGTGCCTCCTTACAGCCTTGAGCTAGGCTTGCAAACTCCAGCTGGGCGCAGCCATCTAAGACTGACTCCAGAGGACTTGCTAGCCATCCCTAATCCCAGGTCTCCAGGGCAGCAGACAGGCATCCTTATTTCTAGGCCTCTGGGACACCTGATTCCCTTCTTCAGAGAGATGCCATGGCCTCTCAGGAGCCTCCAAGAGGCAGAGATGGGGACAGGGCAAGGTTAGCTATGGAGCTAAAGGCGATGCCCCCCATTAGAGCTAACTACACCCCCACTGACCCTGACAGCAGTCACCTCTTAGTGTGCCTCCCTGACCACACTGGTCCCACCCACGCTCCAAATGAGAAACAAGCCTGGGTCCCTTCCTGCAGACCCTCTCTGCCCCCAGCAGCTTCCCCTGCACTGGACCTTCAGGTTCTGCCAACTCAGGGGACAGGGTGTCCCTGGATGACAGCCTCTGGTGGGGATCGAGGCCTCCTCAACAACCCGGCTCCCCCAGTTCAGGACACCATAGACTCTTTCCTTAGAAATTTCATTTTGTTTTGCTTGACTCTTCCCTTCTGGGCTAAAAAGTGTTTTCTTCATTTTCGTGAGAAAAAGGAAATCTGCAAAAGGCTTTGCAAAGTGTTCCTGAGAGGAGAAGGCCCTGGGCCCCTGGACCTGGCTTATTTGGCTGGGTTTTGCTGAGTGCTGGCCTCAGCGGTTTGCCTGGAGAGGGAGACAGATCCCAGGACCACTGAGTGAGGAAGGGAACGCAGATTTTCATACATGTTTGTGGTGTGTGATCCAGGAGGCTCCTAGTGACCCTGACAGTTGGGACTGCCAGCAGGGCTGAACCTGCTCCAGAAAGGCCCAGACCCCACACCCTAGAGGGGGCCTCCAGTCCACAAAGGCCCCAGGGTTCTGGGGCTGGTCCCCAGGAATGGCAGAAACCATGGGGCTGGGGCCATGTTTGTCCTCCTGGACTGTACCTAGCCCCACCCTAAGCAGTCCACCAGCTGGCCCTACGCCCATGGTGTGCCCGCAGACTCTCAGCACACCTGCCTACAGAGCCCTCCTGGGATTGGATGGGACCTGCAGTTCTAGAAATACCCACCATCATCAGCTCAGGTGACCTCCCAGTCGCCCCATGTGGAGTAGGACAATGTCCTCACTGTCCAGGGAGCAAACTGGGGCCTGAGCGTGAAGAGGGCTTTTCAGGCCCCCTGACCTCGCCTGCCTCCTGCTGTGGGACCCCACTCACAGCTCACCCTGCACTCTGCTCCCCCAACATGCTCAGCCTCTCACTGTCTGTTCTGATTGGGGATGAGGCTCATGGCAGTGTACAGGTGACCCCACTCCTCCAGTGACCCCTCCTAAGCTCTGTCCCCCAGTTTGAAGCGAACCTTTCCTTTCTCCACCTCAGAGTGAAAGTCAGGTGACCACCCTGTCCAGGCACAGCTCGGTGGAACCCCTGCCCGTACTTTGTATGCACATGTCAAGTCACACGCGGATTGTCTAGAAGAAGCTCTGAGGAGTATGTCTTATCTCACACTTGGGGTGCCCCTGCCAAGGGTCCCCTCTCTTGTCTGGGTGTAGCTCCTGGAGCCCCTCATGTCACACCTGAGATACACTTTCCAGTCACCCACAGAGCAGGTGTATGTATGTCCTGATGTGGGATGAGCTCCCTGCAGCGGGTGAGTGGGGTGTGGCCCGGGTGCTGTGAGGTGTGCGTGCCCTCCGGAGGAGGAATGCTCTGTGTGCACTGGGCCCCAGGTTCCAGCACAGGGTGAAGTGTAAGGTCATAGGCCATGCAGGTGTGTGCCCCTGTCACCCCTCCTGTGGGTTGGAGCTCTGCACGGAGGATGAGGCCAGAGCTCCCACCTGGGGGACTTGGGAGGGATTGTGGGAAGAAGGCCAGATGGCGCTGGCCAGGAGGATGCTCACCCCGAAATAGGCAGTGTCCCCATCGGTCCAGAGCACCACAAGGTCGGCGTTCACCAGCTCCCCACGGTCGGACATGCCGAAGAGCAGGCCGGCCCTGAGCTCACGCACTAGCAGCTGGAAGTGGATGGCCTCCGTAGGGTAGCTGACGTTCCAGAACAGCTCCAGGGTCCCCTCGGGGTCCAGGGGGATGTGGTAGGGGAAGGGGCTCTCAGGGGGCTCCGAGCCCTGCAGGGCGGCCACCAGGATGACCAGGAAGACAGCCACGGCCGTGCCGTACATGGAGGCTGCCTCTCGAGTGGACGGGCTGGGGAGGGCAGCCCACTTCCTTGGGGGGCTCACGGCCTGCATGCTGGCGTGCACTTGGTGGCCGCACCTGGCCATTTATGCCCTGTCCCCCACAGGGGTGGGCCCGGGCTGCTCCAGTAATTACATTTGTCTGCTGGGCAATTGGATTACTCCCTGCCCCTCCCAGCAGCCCATGCCCCAGGCCAAACACTTGTCTCCTTCCCCCCCTAATTGGCACTAATGACGCATGGACATTATCGGGGAACAGACCCCTCACTGCCACCGCCCCAGCCCTCTGGCCCAAGGAGCTGTCCGGGAAGTGGGCCCTGAAGCCACTATCCTGTCCTCAGTCCCTAGGCTGCTGACCCCCACCCCCACTCAAGGGTCTGGGGCTCCACCCATTCAAATGTCGAGACCGAGGCCAGGAGGGTCACTATGGTGTGACCTCTGAGGTCCAGGTGCCACACAGCTGTAGGCCTGAGCCCAGCAGTCGTTTCTACAACAACAGGAGGAGGGGGCGGACAAATTTCAAACTAAAAATAAAAGACAATCTCCAAATAGGGCCTGTGTTTAGACACTGTCTCCACGCCCTGCTGTTCCCCACTTTGCCTCCTGTTTCCCTGCAGGCTCCAGCTGGGGCCAGGCTGTTCTAGAAGCGTGGGCGTCATGCTGGGTGGGGGTGCACTGTGAGGTGGCTGGGGACAGACTGTGGTTGCAAGGTGGGGTGTATAGTGAGAGGCAGGCTTCATGGGCGCATGGCTGGGAGAGTGGGTGCACAGTGCATAAATATAGGGGCTGAGGGCAGACTTAGGGGTGCATTACTGGAGGACAGTTGTGAGGTGCACTGCTGCTGGGGGTAGGGGCGAACTTCACAGTGAGTTCTTAGGAATACTGGGGGAGTCTGTAGGGTGCATTACTCTGGGCCAAATGTAGGGTACATTGTTGGGTTGCATCATGAAAGGACCCCACCCTGACTCTGAATCCTCCCAGGCCGATCTGCCTCCAACTGCACATCCCCCACACCGAGCTTTCACAAGGGGTCACGGCGGGAGGAGAGCTGGAGCAGAGGACTCTGGGAGTCTGCCTCTCTGTTGACCAGAAGGTTGCTGTGCCCGATGCACCAACTCAGGGTGAAGCCGTTGTCCTGCTTCAGGTCCCCGACCTCCAAGGGGAGGAGTTCACCCCCTCACGTGTCCCCAGGTGGTCAGGGAGGTGGGCGCCCACCTGCTCTGCTCCAGCTAAGTGCCTACTTGACCGACTCAGAGAAACCATCCCAGCCTGTGAAACCGAGAGGGATGCTGGGGGTACGGAAGACACCAGGGGGCACAGCCAGGAGGGGCTCCAGGACTCTAAAATCCTAATGCAGCATTTCAACAACGACAAATCATTGTCTTATATGTATGGCAACAATCATGATCAAGGGGTATATTGCAGGGAGGGCTGGGGGGAAACATTGTCAATGTTTTTAAAAAAGTCTTTTTAAAAAAATAATATACCACTGGGCCAACTGGCAGTATCATGATAGACGATGAAGAGACTAAAATTGTTAACAACTTTAGTTCGTTTGGCTCCACAATCAACACCCTTTGTACCAGCAGCCAGGAAATGAAAAGATGAATTGCACTGGGAAAGTCTGCTGTCAGAGACCTCTCCAAAGTATTGAAGAGCAATGATGTCAGTCTAGAGACTAAGGTGTGATTCAGGTAATGATCTTTGCAATTACGTGCTATGTATCAGAAAGTTGGATAATAACTAGGGAGGACAGAAGGAGAATTGATGCCTTTGAATTGTGGCGCTGGAGAAGAGTATTGACTATACCGTAGACTGCTAGGAGAATAAACAAATTCATCCTAGAGAGGTTGAAGGCAGGCTGCTCCTTGGAGGCAAGGATTCTGAAGCTTCATCTGACATACTTTGGCCATGTTGCAAGGAGAGACAAGACCTTAGAGAGGGATGTCATACTTGGAAGGGTGGAGGGACAGCGCAGGAGAGGAAGACCCTCGATGAGATGGACTGATTAAGTGATAGGGGTAATGGGGATAGGTGTGTCAGAGACAGTGAGATTGGCATAGGATAGAGCAGGTTGTACACAGGATTGCTATGAGTTGCAAGTGACTTGAAGGCACATAACAACAACAACTTCTGCAGTTAATTGAACCCAACAACAATGCAATACTTTTGTGAGCCTGCCTTGTAAGTGTCTGTACACCTCTGAACTAAAACTCTCTGCTCATTTACTTTCTTTTTAAAAAAAAAAATTTAGGTTGTTTATTTTTTCATTTCAATGAACATATACAGAGATTCATTTACTTTCTGAACCTTCAGGCACCGCTGCCTGTCCTGCCACAGCTATCATTGTTTCATTGTTACCCAAATACAAACCAGTCTCTGAATCTTGGGGTTTCATCTGTACTTGCCTCAAGTACATCACGTTGCTGCGGTGTTTTCCGAGTTGCCGATTTTGTCAGATTTTCTGGTGTATTAGCTACAGTAATATAGTAAGTTGATTTATGGACCTGTATCAATATTTTTTGAGAATGAAGTATCTGAAGGAAAAAACTGAACAAAAAGGCTTCTGCTCAGCTACTAATAATGTTACCGCTCATGGTGGTGTGATTCAATGTAGAAAGATGTTTCAAAGCCACCTTACGGTTAGTGTGCATATGATCGAAGAAATACTCTATTTCGGCAACTCAGAACTATATTTATGGAGTTTCCTGTGACTCAGATTGATGGTCGCAGAGATGACGGAGTCTCTATGGTCTGGTATGGGAGAAAGTCGGAGGAGGGGGTGTGACATCATCAGGTACCACACTGGGTGACATCAGTCTTAGTGACGCCATTGGTTCCAGCCCAAACTCCCCTCTCCCTCCGGAAGTGAAGAGGTGGGTCAGCAAAGACTGGACCCCAAGCCTGACTTTGGCTGATGCCCAGGGAAAGAGGAATGGGGTGGGGGGAGTAGCCTCCCTGGGACACGGACACATGGGAGGGCACGCGGGCTCTCCGGGTGGGAGAGGACCAGGTGGCCTTTAGGAAACACCAGTGATATGTCCACATATTTGCTCAGCAGGGTTTAGCACTCTCTCCATTTGGCGCCCACCGGCGGGCCTTCCCCCCACATTTGATGAAAACCAGCATGCCGATGTCAGGACTGGGAAGGACCAGGTGTAGGAGCCCTGCTGGCACAGTGGGTCAAGCTAACGGAAAGGTCAGATGTTCAAACCCACTAGTGGCTCCACACAGGACAGACGAAGCTGTCTCCATCCCTAGAGAGGACAGGTCACCCTGGGACACCCCAGGGGCAGGTCGACCCTGGAGGGTCACTACACATCAGAACCAGTGAGATGGTGGAAGGTTTGTGGCCGGTGCTGGTCACAGGGCCCCGCACTGACCTCCCCAGCCTGTTCACCCTCGCCCGGCTTGGGGGTGGTTCTGACCCTGCCCTTTCTAGCTGTGCAGTGATGCCCCAGGGGCCAGCAGCACGCTGAGGTCACGTCCCCAGGATTGAACGGCACTGGAGGTCAGAGGCCCAGAGCGCATGCTCTGTCAGGGGAGGTGGCGAGGAGCCTGAAGTGAGGCATGTGGTCAAGGGGGGCTGGTCGCCCTCTGCCCTGAGGAGGCAGTGGCCACTTTATAGGTGGGTGGGGCCCCACTGCTCCAATCACGGGTCCCCATCCCCTTTCGTCTCTTGTTGCAGAAACGGATTTTCACAATGTGCAATTTGACCAGGGGAAAAACCCAGTGCTCAGCGGTCCTTGGTCCTGCTGCCCCGTGTCCGCCGGATGGCAGAAGTGCTGAGCCAGCCAGATCCTACTTAGGGCACCAGTTGGGCATGGAGTGGAGTGAAGGGGGTGAGGGGGTGGGTGGTGGAGTGAGGTGGGGTGAGATGGTGAGGTGGGGAAGGGTATGAGATAGCGTGGGGTGCAGGGTCTGGGAGAACGGGGTGGGATGTGAGACGGGCAAGGCTGGGGTGAGGGGATGAAGGAGTGGGTGGGATGACATGCAGTGAAAGGGTGGGGGAAGGGTGAGGGGGTGGCTAGGGAGGGTGGGGTGAGGGGGAGAAGGGGTGGGGTGAGGGGGTGGGGTGGAGGGAGGTGCAGTGTGAGGTAAACTGGGGTGAGGTGGGGTGAAGTGTGAGGAGGTGGGGTGGTGTGAGGGAGGTTTGGGAGGGTGAGGAGGGTAGAGTTGGGGTGAGGGAGGTAAGGGGATAAGGTGGGTTAGGGTCTGATGGCTGGGGTGAGGAGGCCGACGAGTGGTGAGGGGGTGAGTTGGGGTGATCAAAGTGAAGTGAGGTGCTGATGTGGGGTGAGGGCATGGGTTGGAATGAGGGAAGGGGTTTGGGGTGAGGGGTGAAGGGCAGTATTACGGGGGTAGACTGGCGAAGGAAGCCCAATCTCCGATGCGCCCTGTCTGCTCTGTGCCCCCCAATCTAGCTCAGCCCTGCGAGGTGCCCTCCAAGAACCAGGCGGGAGTGGAGCAGGGCGAATCGGAGGAAGGCAGAGGCGGGCAGGGTGTCAGCACTGTGTCAGAAGACATGGTCCTGGCCTCCCTCCAAGGCGCATCGACGGCTGGCCTCATTTGGAGCCAGTTTCAGCATCTTAATAAGCCCTTTGCTCTCTGTCACCTCCCCTCGTCACCGACAGCCCCCAGCTGCCCTGCTTCCTGCCACATAAGCCACGCAGGGCTGTGGACAGGCGGGTGGCAGTGGAGACCCCTCCTCAGGTTTGGAGCATGGGAGCATCAACTGGTGGTGAGAGGTCAAGTCCAGGTGCAGATTAGCCCTTGTCCTCCCCCCAGCCTTGGCCGGCAGAGGCCGTAACTGGACAATCCCAGCCCTGAGCTGATGGGGGGGTGTACAGGGTGCAGATGACACTCAGCAGGGGCCCAGGGAACCCCTGAAGCACTGAAGCTGGCAGGGAGCCATGAGTACCAGTCTGAGACCCACCGAGTGGCCTGGAGCCGTCTCTGGGCCTCGTTTTACCCACAGAGAATTGCCCTTGCTCTGACACTTCAGGGCTGTGGTGGAAAACTGTTCACTGGTTGAAGGGCCTTGAAAACCAGGA